AGGGTTGTACCCATACTTCACAACAGAATAGCCAATAAACACACGAAAAAAATGCTCAAGAACAGTGGCCATCAGGAAAATGCTATAACCACATCCATAGTGAAATAACACTACACACCCACTAGAATGACTAAGATTTCAAATACTGACAAACATGAAGTATTAATAAGAATGTGATGCAACAGGAACTTTTATGCATTGCTGGCAGAAATGTAAAATGGTACATCCATTCCGGAAAAAGACACTTATGGGGGAAAAAGTAAGTCCCCCAAAACTTGTAAATCAAGGGCCGGCCCGTGGCTCACTCGGGAGAGTGCGGTGCTGATAACACCAAGGCTCCGGGTTCGGATCCCATATAGGGATGGCCGGTTCGCTCACTGGCTGAGCGTGGTGCTGACAACACCAAGTTAAGGGTTAAGATCCCCTTACCGGTCATCTTTTAAAAAAAAAAAACAAAAAACTTGTAAATCAATGTTCCTAACAGCTTTATTCATAGTAGCCAAACATGGGAAACAACCCAAAATGGCCATCAGTCCCTGAATGGAAAAACAAATGTGGATTAGCCATATAATAGAATAATATCTAGCAATAAAAAAGAACTAACTACTGATACATGCAACAACAAATATGTATCTCAAAAACATGCTGAGCAGAAGAAATGAAAAAGTTCATGATTTCATTTTTATGAAATTCTACAATAGGCAAAACTAATCAACAGTGACAGAAAGCAAATCAGCAGTTGCCCGGAGCCAGAGGTTAAGTTGGGAGGGGACTGACTGCCAAGGGGCACAAGGCAGCTTGCAAAGCGATGGAAATGTTCTGTATCTTCACTGTGATGGTGGTCATGTGGAATAGACCAACATGGTATCTGTCAAAACTCAAACAAGGGCCGGCCCGTGGCTCACTTGGGAGAGTGTGGTGCTGATAACACCAAGGCCACAGGTTTGGATCCCTATATAGGGATGGCCGGTTAGCTCACTTGGGAGAGCGTGGTGCTGACAACACCAAGTCAAGGGTTAAGATCCCCTTACCGGTCATCTTTAAAAAAACAAACAAACAAACAAAAAAAACTATACTTGAAGTAGGAGTATTTAATTGTATATAAATCATACCTCTAAATCATACCTCAACAGATTTTATTTTATTTTTCTGGTGGGTGGCCAGTACAGGGATCCCAATAGATTTGATTTTAAAAGAATAAAATGTCTACAGCTAACAAAGGAATCTGTAGGTTTCTGAAGCTGAGTTCTCCCCCTCACATCTGTAATACATGTCTACTTGAGCTGTAGAATAGAAGGAATGTGAATCTATATGCAGCGTTGTGATCTATCTTAGGGCAGAAAGAGCACATGCTTACCTGAGGTGCTACATAATAAGGGGTGAATTGGGGTGTCATCAAGTCACCTTGGTCAATTTTGGCAAATCCAAAGTCACATAACTTCACTGGAGCATCCTGAAATAAAACAAATGAGAGTCACCTCTCCAGAGTCCCCAGTAAACATTAAAGGAAAATCCAGGTGCAAGACATGTTACCCTGAGCTCTCACAAGTTTCTGGCTGAGACCTGAGCCTATGAATAACATGTCCCCAGGTCTGGAGACAATGATTCATATTGAGGAATTGTTCTCAGTAATACAGATGTAAGATATTTCTACCCACTCACATAGTTAGCCTTGTTTTATAACTTGTAAAGGCAGCACTAAAATCCAGGTCTTAGCCTACGGCCCCTTCATATTAAGGGCCCAACACCTCTCATCAGTGCAAGGCACTGCTTCACTCAGCATCAACCATAAGTGTCACCATACCCAGAACAACTTATTTGGTGGGACATGGGAGAGGGGACAGAAGGCAGGGCTGAAGGGGAAAGCATGCCAGATCAGGGTTAGCAGCAAATGAAACTATGTTTCAATGTAATATATAACAGCATATACATTTCTGCCCTTTCTCAAAGTCCCTCCAAATAATACCCCAAATCATAAGTCCCACAAATACATTTCAATATCATACAAAATTATCAATGCCAGGGGTACAGTACAATTTCTCGGAGCCTCTAGCCAGGGAACAGGTGAAAGAAATAAGCTGTTAGAAGTACTTTGGCTTAAAGCTCCTTCACCATGAGCATTCCAACCACAAACACACCCACTCTTGAACTGTGGTAAGAGTGGCAGCACTAAAATGCAGAAAAGCAAGTCTTCTCACCAAAGAGTTATCCTTGAAAAGCAGATTTTCAGGCTTGAGGTCTCTGTGTGCGATGTTTAACAAGTGACAATGCTGTAGAGCCAAAGCTATCTGAAAAAGGACACAGTGGAACAACCAACTCTTAGAAAAGATCAATCTTTAATACTCCTGGTGTAGAGCACTCAAGATGTTAAAAAAAAAAACAAAAACAAGCTTTCATCAAGTCAATTAGGACAGGTCAATTTCAATTTAAAATTAAGACTTCAGATACCAAGAAATAGAAAATGAATTAAGCTCAGTTTAACTGCAACCTGTATTTTGTTAAACAGAGAAAAATACGACAGTAAAATAAGTCTTAGAACAGACTGATGGTTTAAATCCTGTAAGAAATGGGGAAAATGAAATGCTCCCACTTTCACACATCTGAGGCGTGGCAGGCACTGCAGAGGCAACACTAATCTGGGCAGTCTTCAGCAGGGTGGGATTCCCACAGCAGGGCTTGCAGGATCGCCTGGCTCAGAAGAGAGCTGCACTCTCCAGGGAGCAGAACAGCTAGCTCTGCATACAGGAAATCAGCTGACTGTATTTTTCCAACTGAGGTTCCAGTTTGCTCACCCTGCTTGTTGAAAATGTTGCCTGTTTGTGTGGATTTAAAGGGTTTTTGTTTTACAGAAGATCGTCAGAGTTCATCCTTTAGTCCTAATACTTGAAAAATGAAAGGTGTAATTTTTAAAATCAAATAAAAAAGAACAGATTCTACCTGTTCTTCAACTTTCAGTATGGGAATTTCAGCAATCCAAATACCAGTTCCTCCCTATCAGAAAGAAGGCATCCAAAAATCCTTGAGGCTCATGGAAAATTTGAAAGAACTTTTTAATTAAGAACTAATTGGGCTGTGCTTCCTGCTTTTCTTTGCCTTGCTTGCTCGGTCTGAAGGTAAGCCTTGAGGGTTTAGTTTTTCACCTCAAGAGGTTATTACCAGTTGGATTCCTAGTATTGCTCGTGACATAAATCATTTCTATAGCAATAAAATGTGATGTCAAAATAGAATAGGGCTGGCCAGTTAGCTTAGTTGGTTAGAACACAGCCTTATAACACCAAGGTCGTGGGTTTGGATCCCCATACTGGCCAGCCACAAAAAAGGGGGAAAAAAAAAAAAAAGAATATAACCAGGAATAGCCCAAAATTGCAAAGATCTTAGAATATTATTAAAATCTGAAGAAATGAGAGAAAGGTGACTCATATGCAAGATGCACCTTATGTATAAATTGTCTTAGAACATATTTTTATACCATACAATCTTTCGGGTGGTATCAGTAGCATTTTATCCCAAAGTCTAGCAACAGTGCTGGGAAGCTATATGTCTAAAGATATCTACAGTCCCCAAAGGAGTTAAGATTACCTTCCTTCCAGAGTTTGTTTAATCTCACAATAGACCTC